AGTAGAACTCATGGAAATGATGGAAACGATCGAAGAGTTAGCAATCCTTACTATATTATTTGCTCGTGATATTTTAAATATTTACAAAGGAACACTATGTCTAATAATTACTAAATACAACTAATATTTTGTGAGAAAAATTAAAATTATTGTAATTTTCATCCTACAATTACAAATATTTGATGAATACCAGTGTTAATTCTTTTTAAACTTATATATTGAAATACCTATACTTTCCTATAATTCCACATTTTATCTCCTAATATCAACTCTATTATTTATTATTATATTTGTTTTTAAAAACAAATTTTTAAGCAATTTTTTTCATAAAATATTTAAAAAAAAATCTAAACGCGTGTATAAATATTATCTGGCAAAAGAAAGAAAAGAATAAACGAAAGATATCTTATTATTTATCGGAAAAAGAATAAGATTCTGTTCGATAACGAAAAAAAAAAAAAAAGAAGAAGAAGAAGAAGAAAAAATGGATTGCACAAGCAATCGTTAAACGGATTAAAGGAATTTTAATTCCATTCGATTAAGGCGGCACGAAGGTTTCAAAAGTAACACATTAAATCTCATGAGTTGCAATTACTCACGCAAGAGACTATGTTGGCTAATGTGATTTAACCGTGTTGTACATATGATTGAAAAGCCTCGAGGTCAAAACGTGACAAGTTACATTTTGCACGACGATCACGAGTATGTTGGATTAATAGAAATTAATAGAACAGAAGTTGTGAAATTTCCATAGAATTGAACGAATTAACTATTGACCAACTTCATTTCTTAAATCTTTTTCCTAATCTGATAATGAAAATAAAATCTACGATCTCGTAAGAGATGATAAATTAAACCTACACCGACTTACTTCGTTTAAACATTCTTTTCTCTAATCTGATAACAGAAATACAATCGTGGAAAAAAGGAAATGATGAATTGAATCGCAACCGAATTATTGTATAACTGAAATATCATTGTAATCATTTCGCTTCTTTAAAAATAATAATATTACCAAAAAAAAAAAAAAAGAAAAATTAACAAAAAGCTTACGAAATTCGTCGAAACGTTACTCGAAAATTAAATCTCGATTTCCAAGGAAATAAAAAACGAAAGGAAAGTCGGTTACATAAAAGAGTTACCTAATATAAAAGGAACAAAAAAAAAAAAAAAGAAAAAAAGAAAAAAATTAAAAACAATTTGATCTTTTTTCATTTCATTATGAATTCATTAAAAAGAATTTAATTATTTTATAATACGTCCAATTACACACTTTTTTTCACAGTGTCCTGCGAAATTTACGATTCTACGTACTTTACGACTCGACGACTCGGCACGATTTTCAACGTCAATGGAATAAAAGATCAAATTTGACAGGAAAGAGAGAGAGAGAGAGAGATTCCTTCATCATCATACTTCTGCTGGCAATAGGAATAAAAATTACGAGTATTCGCTCGAGTCTCGACTCAAGAATCAGGTCCATTGAGGTTAAAGACGTAATTTAGCCGCGATTTCCTAGAACACGCCGCGAGGAAATTGCCAGTTAACGCATTCATTCCATCGACTGCTAACGTCCATGCGTTCCTTATATATATATATATGTACAAAACAATATTCAACGGAGAGAAAGGGCGAGCGAGGGAATTAGGAGAGAATTAGAGTAGAAAAATAATCATAAATTCGCAACGTGTTAACTTGCCAAGAAATCTACTATCGCTAATTCAACATTTCTTTTCTTCAAGACGGAATAGTTTTCTTTTAAAAGCTCGCCACCGAGTTTAAAAATAACATTATGTCCTTTCGATTATTCATTTTTAAACACCTCGATTTTTAAATATTCCTAATTTACAGATAGCTTTCACACAAATAGCAACATTTTAACAATTCCCTCGAAAAGGATTATTATTTTGAAAAAATGTTTCGATATATCGTTCGTATCGTTATTTAATTCAAAAAATCAATATCTGTAAATAAAAAAAAAAAAAATACCAATGAACTTTCGACGCTAAAGTATCACGGTACAGATATTCAGAAACAATGGTCCCCCCCCCCCCCGCCCCATCCCAGGCAAAATTCTTTTCACGTTGCTCAGAGCTCGAATGTTTGAATAGACACACGGTCTGCCAGCTACTTACAGTAGACATAAGTTACACTAAACGCGTACTGTTTCGATTCTATCTCCTCGCTACCTAACAACCCTACCAGTCGCCATAACTTCAAACATTAACGGCGTTACAGCGTTACGTTTCTTTGTGTTGCGTCCACCGACACGGTTGTAAATCTTAAGGGAACGAATCACGGAATTACGGCCACCCCGTGATTACAAACCCCGTTGAATTAAGCATCGCTTGTTCGACGCTTAATGTAATGTCGTTCGTCGATGAAAGGTGTGTGCTGCTCTTTAACGAAAAGGATAAATTGTACTCGTTGTACGCGTAATGAATCGGATCCCAATCGATGCCCAACAATCAATCGGGCCATTTCGTTTGTTTAATTTTTATTTTTAATTTGTTTCTCGATTCGTTCTCTTCCTTCGATTCGGAATTAATAACGTTCTTAAAAACCTATATTTGTATTTTATTTTGAAAAGATTCAAATTTTCATTTTTGCAATTCTTACTCTCAACTTGTTAATTCTACATAATTGTTTGAATTTTCGTAATTTTAACACACTTCGATGATGATACTTTCTTAACTGAAAGAAACCGACAAAAATCGATCGATAAATAAATCCACGACGACAATAAAAAATCCGCAATGCCTAAACCCGTTGCCAATCAATTTCTCCGTTTAAACAGACAAGAATTACAATAATACGAAATTTCGTTAACCAGATGCGATTTAAGAAAAAACAGAACTATCGGTGAGGATTGACAAGATGGAAGAGCGGCGTGGCTAATGAGTTATGGGAACGTCAGAAAAGAGAGGCTTAATAAATCTGCACCGAGAGATCCGATCGCGCCGAATGCATTTCTTTGATGCTCACCGGGTATACCGAGCGGTGGATCGACCGTGTCCACCCAAGGATTTATGCCCGCGACGAGATACGGACGCGGTATTTTATCCGTTTTCTTTTTTTTTTTTATTCATTTATTTTTTTTTCTTTCCTTCGTCCCCAAGGAACCGCCGCTTCGAATAAATTTTTATTCGTTCAAGTCGCAGGCTCGATAAGTGCGCGTGAAAATATGGCGAGTCCTTCGATTCTCTTTCGCTCGGTTTTCGCCTTTCTTGCGTTTTCTTCCGTCTTTTTTTGGGTACTTTGAAACGCGAGAGAGGGAAAGGATCGAAAGAGGGACGTAATTAAGATGCAAGAGAGGAAACGATAATTTTGAGAATTCTCGAGTAGGTTGTTTCGTGACTTTACTTACTTACTTATTTACCATCGAGTTAAGTTTAAAATTATTTCTTAAAGAGAGGAGTGGAGGATAATGGAGATTCGTATTTACATTAGGAAAAGAGATTCCGTAGTTCGAGAATATAAAGATATTCACATTGTTACAAACTGTTGCATGCTCGCGAGTTAAAATTACGTGCATCCCGGGTATCGTACACCCCGATAATAAATGTTCATTTCACCTAGTGTATAGCTGCGTTTAACCCAACACCACACTTTCTACCATTTCATTTTTCATCCAAACCGCCATTCATTCAACACCCCGCATCCTTAAATAACGCCATCCTACCTCATTCACCAAACCTCGCATAATATCAATCATCCTTTCCAAATAAACCGGTACCCGTAACTTTACTTTTTCCCCCGCGCTTTCGCGAAACACCCCATAAAACACCATTAAAAAAGCATTCGTTTCTCTCTCTCCCCGTCAAAGGTCACTCGTTTGATCATTCATCGTTACTCGAATTTCCAATCTTCTTCCCCTCGAACCAACACTTTTACTCCACGCTCAATAAAAAGGAAAGAATTCGCGTTTACTCTCGCAAGATCCGATTTGATTTATGTAGTTCCCCTCGATCTGCTCGAGACGCAATTACACACCGGCTAATAGCCCGTATTATAAACAATTTGAGGATCAAGCTGGAACGGTTTGCCGCGTGTGATTTACCGAACATCTACGAAGATTTACGAATCGTGGATAGGGTTGCGCGATACCGCTTCTAAATAAGATCCGCTCGATCGGCAATAAATCAATCGGGTGTCGAAGATAAATCGATTCGAGTGCTCTCGCATGACGTGTTCATTCCCCGCGAGATATTTCGAGGGCCTGCCTTTCGAGGCCGATCTTTGGGCACAGCGCATGATTTTTGAATTCCCCGGGCTTTTTCCCCTCTTTTTTTTAAGGATTAATGATAATTCTAACGATTATTAACGGTTGCTTGGAGATCGGTAATTCTGACCGGTATAATTCTCTTTGTCGCGTGGGCGAGCGATTATTTTAGAGACAGGTTTGAAAATATGTATATATATTTTTGGAAATTTTTAATAACAGTGAGAATAGAAATTTGAAACTGGTCTTCTCAATCTTACTCGGTTTAACTTTTAAGCGTTAAAGTTATTCATGCTTGAGAATGATTAATTATTATCTCATCACATTGCTCAGCAACAAACCATGACTGTGCCCGTGATCAGCAATTATGCGCTTAACGATCCTTTCGTAATTCAGTTCCTAAGTTATCTGAGCTATTGCTCGCGTTATAGTGAGAAATTTGAGTAATTAAAGGCGTCAATGTAAAGATGTGTGGACAAGTGGCTATAAAATTACGCAACCTTTATCGAGAATTTTGAAGGAAGATTATAAGTAACGCTTCTGGTATCGATAAATAATACTACTATTTTCATATTCCCTAACTTATATGCTCGGTTGTTATTTTGCAATTAATATTTTGCCGATACTAAAGTTTTAATAAGCAAGCTTTAATTACTTCCTGAACTATCAAATTATAAAGTTTATAGCGAGGAAAAGATATTGCAATGTTAAAAACTATCTTATTTAGCTTAATGAAATGGATAATTTTTGGTATAAAATAGATTTATAATATACGTACGTCGTGTGTCGATACTTTATATAAAGCGGCATGCATATTATTGACAACGAAATTGCAGAAAATAAAAGTAAATAAAGGATTGAAACTCACTATACATTGTCTTCAATCTAGATGTTGATCCAATATTTGAAGAGAAGTTGTAGTCGATGCAGTCATTCTTTCACTGGCATTGTTTTCTGTTTCAACAAAATATGAACAATGATTATTTAAACAATATTTTTTATTGGATAATGTTTATTGTTGATAATTGTATTAGAAGTACAAATTTCCTTATAATTTTTCCATAATCTTATGAAAAAATTATCTATTGTATGAATTATCTCAAATAGAAAATTATAATTATTTATATAAAATAAAGTTAAATTTGGTGTAATATTTATAAAGCACACATTGATTAATTTGAATATGCATGATCAGGATTATAATTATTAGATATAAAATGTTTTAATTTCACATTTACTATATATAATTAAAATATTAAAAGATTATATAATTTATATATTATAAAATTTATTATAAATAGTATAATAAATTTAATAAAGTATAAATTTATATACACAGATTTCAAATTAAAGCAAGAGTTTATGTTAAATATTACAAATTTTATCTTTCATAAGGAAAATAAACTTTTTTCAAACAGACTTAAAAATCTACATTCTAAGAATATCTTCTTATTGCGAGTCATTTTCTATTGTTTTTAATATTTCACACACACACACACACGAGGCGCAATATTTACAAATATTTCAAAGTGAGAACGTGGTCGAACATAACTAAGTGCGTCGTAAACGAAGCCCTGTGTTTATCTTTCATACATATGCTGTTCAATTTATTATACATAATATTTACTGTGGTTAGTGTAAATTAGAGGTTGTTTGGCATTCATCCAAAGCATTGAATTCAAAAATGAATTGAACTGCATAATATATTTATCTTTCATTACATATAACTTTTATTATATTTTGTGGTCAACCAAATAAAAGTTTTTTTTATAAATAATTGCATTTTTAATTTTAATAAACTAACAACTGATAAAATTTATGAAGTATGAACCTTACTTATTCCATAACAAGTTTGAATAATTTTTAATTAGCTTTTAAAATTCATTTAAATAAAAATGAATAATATATATTCTTTTAAGAAAAATATATAATAAAGGATATTATAATAAAGGAAATGGAATTGCTCATATTTGCATGCAATAGATATAATTAAAATAAAAAAATTTAATATATATGTTTCTTTCAATGCTTATTATTTATTTATGTAGCCTTTTTCCTTATGAAATTTAAATATTTAATATTTTATATGTAATATTTAAGATAATTTCACTTTAATATGTAATATTTTTTATATATGTTCCCTATTATTATCGCAATAACTATAATTTGACCCCTCACATTTCAACAACGCTTCCAGCAATTTACGATATTTATCGCATCGTTAGAATACTAATTTAAAGAATAATATGTAACAGTTTCAGAACTGTTCCTATCGCAATTGATTCCACTTTCACCCTACACTATTATATGTATTCAACGTGTTCCGACACGACGAAATAAATCAGTATTACCTTACGATTGTAGTGTAGAAAATTCCGATTCCGAATGGTCAACGTGCCACAGCTTCTCTTTTTACGAACGCATGCTCCTAGCATCTAGATATTCCATTCTGCAATATAACATAACCTAACGTAATTCACCAACGAATCTAACTAAGCGTATATCGCAAAATTTTACGAAAGTTTCTCCATACTATACCTCGATCGATGTTCACTTTCTCACGCAGTGAACTGCATCAATAGTCCCCCCACTTTTCGTGTATACTTTCCACCTTGTAGCTCGAAGGACTAAACGCCGGCTGCGTATCAGGCTTCGTATTTCACAGCGAACGAACTCTGACGTTAAATTTATTCACACTAATGTTCCTTCTTCCCTTGATAACACATTCTCGCACAATGAAACAAACACAAAACAGAATTAATGGACAAATTACTTTCTGTCAGGATAACCGTCCATAGTGTCGAAATTTATTGCGTCGCTGATCGCGCGAAAAAGGACGCTCTCGTTCAATGCGCGCGCATCATGCGCGCATCGACCCCGCGCATGTGTGACGCGCTGTTGCGCAGTGTTAACCCCGCGCATGTGCGTAGTGTCGTTGCGTAGTGTCGGATGGTGCTTCGAGAACGCGGGAAAAAATTATTAACAAATTGTTTTGTGTGGTGTAATAAATATTCATGGCTGAAAGTGAGACAACAGATACTCTGGACCACATGGTAAGTCGAGTTTACGGGGTGAGTCAACGAGTCATCGTCCATTTCCTTTTTCGATATTGCCGGAACACATCGGCTCGTTCTTGAACGTCGTCATCGTATCGCCGGACAATAAATAATACGTACCGTTTACGTGAAGCTGTTTATGGCGGTTGAAAGTGATATTACTCTCTTCCTCTTTTTCTTTTTTCCGTTCTCCCTTTCTTTTCAACAAGATTAACCACTCTACTCGCTTAATTAAATATCGTGTTAGACGATTTACAAATTTATTTTATCTTCTCTACAAGAAGACGGATATCACGTGATTTCCATATTAATGGCTACCTTAATGGCGCGAAATTATGAAAAGAACATTGCCTCCTACCCCGGAAGAAGATGTTTGAAATGAGGAATCAACGTGAAAAAAAGGTATTTAATTAAAATAATTTCATAATAATATATAGTTTTACTATATTTTATAGAGTATCAAATAAGTTAAATAATTTATTTTTTTGTATTTGTGAAAAATAATAATTGTATTTTTATTTAATTGAAAAACTATAAACTGTGAACAAAAGTTTTAATGTTTTAAAATTAGAATTGAAATAATTTAAATTAAATATTGTATTTTAGTTCAAATATTTTTATAATTAATTAATATAATATATATTATATTATATT